TCATAGGCCCAAACTACAAGATTTCCACAAAGAAATTAGATTGTGTTTTAGAGACAGCCATGCTCCCCTCCAACTGATCCCAGTTTCTTACACCCTCCAAAACACACAAATTCCTTCCATGATGTTGCAAAACAGTTGGGCTTTGTCTGGAAATTGGTAAATCGGTAAAAATGATAAATACATTAAAGTTCAAAAACCGCCTGGATGCCACATACCACACTGCTTCAATTCAGCCGAAGAGACACGCTTGTCTGTGTTCCTCTGTGTGCGTTCATTGTAACGCTGCATTCTCACGGTCACACAYGCCTGCCGATTTCAATCGTGAAAATCAATCTCCCTCCACCACTCACTGAAGCTGCCTTTCTGAAAATTTAATTATTCGCCGTGTTTTGGAGAAAGCTCTTAAAAACCATAGTTTCACTCTTGAGTTTCACCGTTTTGGCTCCATTTGTTCAGTCAGTGCGGACGTCACGTAGGCCTCGAGTCTCCTCAGCGACACACACTCAGCCTTAATCTGGTCTGCGTTAAGTGATTTTCAAACCAGAGACRCACACTGTATTTTAATTTGTTAAAAGCAAACCACACAAGCGGTACACAATAATTTAGTTGATGAGACCTGCACGAATCCTTTCAATCAAAATAAATTTCTGTTGCATATATACACATATCTAGGAAAGCAAATTTTACAATACTTTTTAGATGCACTCTAGGTACTTTAGCTTCACTATTTTAGCTATATTTGATAAAATGTGTGTCCTATTACAATTGAAATAGAAATTAGATTGGATTTGATCAAACTAAAGTAAACATATTTTCAGATTCCTGACTTTTAAAGCCACAATTTCATATCCAGATCATCATGATACCGTTAACATTTCCAAAGTTAGGGCTTGACATGTTAATCAGGATAATCCTTGGAAAATCGGTCTGAATCCTATTGTTTTGTGTATTTCAATCTTGATGTCTGAAAGGAAAAACCTCAAACTTTATTTGGATATCCAATTTTCCCAGCTGGTATTGAAATCAGCTTCACTAGTGATCATCAAAAGTAGTAAAAATCTATCTTTTTCTTCACAAAATCATTTGTTGTTGGTTCAAAATATTCTTAAAAGTTGAAATTCTGGATATTTCCTTCAAGATACCCATAGGAAAAGGCATTTATTCATCATCCATCCGTCCAACTGTACGTTCATCAGATTCATCATWTTTTGACAAAATGCAATTGTTGCATTTTTTTTTCCTACCAGTAATAAACAAGTGACAATCCTCGATTAGACGTGACAGGTCACATATGTAAAAAGTAACCTTTTCAAAGTTGATTGTGGAGAATTTGGGGCTACAACAACTAACCGATAAAATCGATTGCCAACTAGGGCTGCCACAAATGATTATTTTATAATCGATTAATCAACGATTATTTTTTTCGATTAGTCGACTAATCGGATCATGCATTAATTGAATATAAACCATACAGCTTATCGCGCCCGAATGCTGCTGCTATTATAACCATGGTTAGATTTTAGCTATATGCTAACTTAAAATAATTGCTGTGGAAGGCAAGTTCTGCTCTGCAGATATTGCATTGAACAGGTTTCTCTTTTTTTTTTCCTTAAAATGATCCTACACTTTTGAGCTCCATTGTCAGGTAGCCATGATACCAGAGCCYGTCTGTATAATGTCTTGTGACGTCCACGGCCTACCCCAGTTACCACTGCTGTACATGTGTGTCAAGGACAGAAAGGCAGATGTGGCAGTGGAAGGTGTCAAAGCAGTTTGGAGAGAAAAACAAAGTAAAGAACAAAAAAAAAAAAAAAAAAAACGATTAATCGATTATTAAATTAGTCAACGATTATTTTAATAATCGATTAGTCGTCGACTAATCGACTAATCGTGGCAGCCATATTGCCAACTAATTTCATTATGGATTTGTTGTATTGGGCGATTTATGGTGGTATTAATTTAATGATTGCACTTTAAGTTTTAATTTGCTGACAATGTCTGAGTGAAGACGCTTGCCTTAACCTAACGCTGCAAATAAAACAAGGCATTTATTGAATTCTTGTAATAAGCAGCTGTCTTGACTTAAAGTATTCTTAACATGATCGTCACGAGACTGTCCATGGTCAAACATAAAGATTTCACTATAATAGTTCACACTTTTATTTCAGGGTACACTCTTCCCTCGTGGACACATTTTATAAAGCTCATGGAGAGAAAATATGAAGAGACTTATTTTAATTTAATGTGTATATTTTTCCTGTGTACTTTCATTTTATTACTGAATATAATTGACAAATATTTACTTATTTATGAATTACAAATTAATAGTATAGTAACATAATTCTCAAAAAGCAAACTGTTTTTTGGGCAATTTTGTTTCAGTCCAAATTTTCTAGTTTGGAATAAAGAGGTCAAAATTAAAAATGTTTTTGTTTTCTGATTCATCGCCTAATCCAAAAAAAACAGTCAAACAATTAATCGACTATTATAATAATCGTTAGTTGCAGCCCTGAGAGAATTATTTAAAGCCTGACAAGTTAATGGTACAACAAGAACACAACAAAACAACAAGGCAAACAGATACACCAAGAATGTACCATTTMCATTTTGGAACACATAAAACTCCCATTATCTTGAAGTTTACCTGAGTTTTTCCACAACTACTACYAATGATCACTTTGAGACAAGAGCTGCTGTTACAAGGTTGAATGACGTACATCTAAAAGAGTTGTTGCCCAACTACAGAGTGGGAAAGCAGAGAATCGATCATACAGTACTAATGGATGAGGAAGGTCCTCTGATCTCTGTCAGCTGCTTCCGTGTGTCTCTTTAAATAAGTAACATACCGCCAATCAATGTGGCAATCTGACTCACTAAACATTCAACTAGCCTGAGATCAATAACACTTTGCAATCCCTCTTCCAACCCCTAAAGAGCTTAATATGACAGAAGAAGAGTGATGGAGAAAGAATANCACACACACACACACACACACACACACACACACACACACACACACACACACACACACACACAAATGCGGACGCACACACATGTCTAAACAAGGAGGAGGAAGTGGCCAACTAAAGGGCAGCATCTGTCTCTGTGCTCAAAGAGCGAGCAGCGAGGAGAATAAAGACCCCCGCATTGATGTTTCCCATCAATCCGCCGAAGTGCAAAAGAAGAGCAGTGAAGATCTCCTCCACTTGACAAACTGACATTCTCTGCAGGAAAATACTCCTGGATGCTTCTGCTGCCAAGACTAACCTCCAGGCAAAATTCATCCGGTGCCAAAAGTCACTCAAGTTTTTTATTTTTTTWATTTTTTTCCTTGTGCTCGGGGCATGCAGCATGGAGAGTACTCTGCTGAGAAATATCACCCCTCCTGACCAGCGAGCCATTCATGATTTCACTGGGAAACGATAGGATCCAAAGGAGCTCAATAGCTGTATTCTTTTCTGTCTATTTCAACTATTTATGTAGGAAAACAGCACACTTTCATTTTGTTTTTCGCACAAATTTAAAAAGTCACACCAACAAGCTGCCAAGAACAACCGCTCTTTGGTGTATGGCGGWAACTGAATGCCTCGTTCAAGAGATTGACACACAAAGTCTATTAAAAAAAGTTTTTTACAACTTAAAGTTTTATAAATCCTATCAATCATTTTGAAACGAAAACTTCTCTAATGCAAGTGACATTTCCTTCTATGCAGTACAACCTTACAGCATCACAGTAACATCTGGGTTTGAAATTTTTATTCATTTAGTGAAACAAACCAGTGGGAAAAAATCTTTGTAAGGGAACGCAATATAGATTTATGATCTTCATTTTTACAGCTTAGTTTTTTTTTTTCATTCAAATTCTCACAAGCACACCCATGTGTTTGTAAATTACTCGTAAATTCCGAAGTTTGGTAAATAAATTAAAACAAGTTGGTCTACAATTAAGTTTATACTTATTAAGTAAAAATTTTTAAAAAATCCTTTAACACCAGATAATTAAGGCACAGTTAATCTGCCGGGCCACACCTTATTGTTCACAATTACACTGARATAATTTTGTCTAAACGGAAAACAATTACATTTTAATATCAATAACATAAGAGCACATTTAGGACATAGGGAAAACTTGATATGGTAAATGTTGCACTTATTTTGTCAATTTTCTACTTAAATAACCTAACCTAACATTTTATAATTTCAGAAAAATACAACTAAGGATATATTAGTGCTTGACTTTGACTTAGAGATGTCTCTTCTATGTCTTGCACCATAAGGCTGTTGTAGCAAATTAAATCAATGTTCGTTGCCATTATTCACAGTAAGGTAACTAAGCTTCATACAAAAACAAAGTGCTTCTAGGGTTAGACTAAAACGAAAAACAAAACTAAACAAATTAATTTCTCAAGTATCAGAGCTCTCTGTTCTCATTTATTCTTTAGGATGGCTGAACGTTGTTCCGCACACCAAGCCCCTCCTGACAGAACTGGGAACAAGAAGTGCTTTTCTGCCATTCACAATTTGTTTTCTTCTTTTGAAATGTTAGGTTTGGTTAGGTTAGGTTTGAAATATTATGTTTGTTTAATCTTTAGTTCTTGTGGTGGAAAAACCCAAGGAATGTCCTGTATTTGAAACACAGTTTAAGACAAATGGCAAGTTTCCTTCATAATTCAGAAAAGCCAAATTGTGAGCATGTGAGAAAACCTTAAAACAAGATTACAAAACAGTTTTCACCTGAATTATTATAATAAAAAATTTTCTAACATAAGATTTTAAATGCACTGGAAACATGTTTATTCAGCAGTAAGTATTGTGTAAAATGTTTATAAGTCTGTTTTAGCTCCAAACAAAAAACTGTGATTATCAGAGAATGTGGTCTACCTCAGCCTGAAGGATGCAGTGTCATTGCTACCAGTATTAAGGTAACTGATAAATGATCCGTTTTACAAAGTATATGTTTGTTTTATAAATCTGTTGAGATGTAGGAATCTAAAACTCACTGCATCCGTCCTCATCACTGTGGTCTCCGCAGTCGTTGTCTCCGTCACACTGCCACTGAGCAGGAATGCAGGTACACTCCCCAAAAGCACTGACGGCGCACGTGAAGTGGTTTCTTCCACAGGAACAATCAGCGTTGCCGTGAACACCTGCAAACACAGGGAGAAGGAGGATGTTAGAGCTAATCAGGCATGCTCAGTTTTTCAGATTTGAACTCATAACTGAAATCAATCATTCACTTTGCCCATTTAACACATCCTGGATTTTAAAAAATGCCTCTAAACCTAAATCCCAACACTCAAGAGGGAAAATGTAGTTTAACCACACACAGGAACCTGTTTTTGAAACCTAAATTTTATCTACTCAAAGTAAGGTTGAACAAAATCATGCAGTTAATCGTCAGAAAAACTGTCACCAATTAATTTTTGGCGCTTTGCAGTTACTGCCACATGATTTTTGTGTGATATTTTTACTATCAAACATGCATGTGAGTCCAACGGCTGAAGGCCATGCAGAGCAGCTAACACTACAAACTTCTTTAATCACCAGAGACACCGACATAAACCAGAGTAAGAGGAAAGCTAGAAAGTGCAGAACAAGACCTCGACACTGGCTTCAACAGACTCTACTCAGCGAACTGTGGAAACAAATCAGCTGAGAATTACTCGGTCAATGTGTCCCTTTCAAAGTGCTGTAGGTCACTCAAAGTCTAAAATGTTCATTTTTCAAAAACAAATATCGGAAAATAAAAGCTAGGTCACATCTATAGCTTTGTATAACCATGTTACACTTATACATACCTGTTTTTTTTTATCAAATAACCATATAAAAGTAACTGAACTCTGCTGGCATTCTAAAACAAGCATGATGTGTTGCTTTTAGAAACAGAACTAAGAGTTGAGATTGTTTGTATTTTACAATTGTCAGAACGTTTGATAGGTTGACTTTGACAACTATTTATGAATTTTGAGTGTTAAGTTTAAGCATTAAATGTAGTATTTCACTGGGCTTCCGCTGTTGGCAACTACCTGGCAAACAGCGTTTGCCATGGAGTTAAAATGTCTCAGAGGTTCTCACTTTTGTCACGAGTCAAAGAGGCACCCGGTCTAGTGTGACTAATTTCTTTCTCAAAATAGCCCCAGAGTGGTGATGGGCATCTTGAACTCCACCATCTTAAGCTTTATACATCTGAGACTACATCACTGGACGTGCAGGTGATAAATAATAATTTTTAAATACAAATTATAAAAAACTGGTCCAAGTCTGTCTATTATCATTTCAAAAATGTACTTCAGTTGATTAAATCATAAATGCGGGGGTGGCTTCCAAGGTGGGTACAAAGTGAGCTGAGGGCGATGAAAACATGTTCGCATTTAGAATACAGATTTGCCAGCTATGCACAGGGAAAATAGGCTGCGATTGTAAAAACTTGGAGCAAAAATGTGGCCGCATGGCTTGCTGGTCGCTTGGTCATTAACATTTCAAATTCAGTGAGACTCCAAATGAAAATGAATCCATTTCCCCACATTTATGACTTGCCAAGTTTTTTTTTTTTTCATCAGTTGCGGCTGAGTGAGATACTGCACTCGTGCCACTTAATAAAAGTACAAATGGGGGAGAAAAAAATGCCCACAGGAGCTTGTTTAAGTTTTTGTGCTTGTAGGTTTTTGCATGAAGTCATCATCATTAGACATTAATAAGGGTTGAACATCACAAGTTATACTTCATCTCATCCCTTAAAAATGTATAAAAACTTGTATGTGTAATTTTATTTTCTTTTTTCTGTACAATAAAAACTGTTATATATTCAAAAGCAACGTTTTTTGTATAGAATTAAAAACCTGAAAAAAATACGGTATTTACAGAAACCACTGCAAAGAATTATCAAAATTGCCCAGGAACATCAGGAAACATCTTTAGAAAATACAGACATATTAAATGAGGGGTCTGCAACTTTACGAATCGAAAGAGCCATTTCTCCTTGTCTCACTAATAAAATGTGTCCAGAGCCTCAAAAGAAGCTATAACTGTGATTATCAACTGAAGGTCTGTGGGCCTTTTCGAGGCCTTTTTGCAAACCTTTATGGACAGTTGAGGTGTCATTTTAAAACTAAAAAATATTGTTATTATTATTATTATTGTTATTATTATTATTATT